TGGTTTTTTTTTTTTTTTTGGTACCAGATTCTGTTACTCAGATCTTCTATATTTTTACCATAGGTATCTCTCTTTTGGTGCTGGATACTGTCACTCATGAGACAAGATAGAAAGAAAGGAGATATAATTTTATAGTCTCATCTACACAAGGACTAGTTAAAAAACTGGTAGGAGACATTTCTTAACAGCTTGACAAATAGCTTGACCTGCTGGTGACTTCACAGTGATCTGGAGTTAGACCCACATTCCAGCTCTGCCCTTTTCTAACTAGTGACTTTGAGCAAGTTTCCCAGCCTTTCTAAGCCTCAGTTTCCACATCTGTAGATTAGAACTATAATGGAACCAAACTCAAAGGATTGTTTTGAGGATGAAATAAGTGGATGCATATAAAACACTCAGCACAGTGGCTAGCACATAGTGCTCAATGAATACTAGTTCATAAAAATTATCATTATAATTGGAGAAATAGAACTCAGCGCTTGCCATGTTTTACAATAGGCTCTGGGTCCAAGAAGACCTCTCTGACCTCATGCAAGATTCATGGGTGTGATTTGAGAAGAAGGTTCACAACTTGCTCAGATCCTCAAAGAAGCTATGACATCCCCCCAAATGTTAGGACCTCGTGAATTATATAAATATGGTGACTAAAGAAGCATCAGTGTCTTCTTGGTCATCAAATATCTTTTGTCCTCAGACAGTACTTTGCTATACTGCTCCTTTGTAACCTTAGGGATCAACTTGGGATTTAGGAAATCTGAGTTCTCTCTGATTTCACCAAAATGATGCACATATAGATTTCACCAAAATAATGCACATATAGAATGCACATATAGAATTAGAAATGGGATTACCAGATGAGTCTAGAGTGCAGAATAGATATTAGGTAAAACAGGTCTTCTCTCTTGCCTGAAAGAGGGCAACTTGTTTTATTGTCTGACCTTATGTCATGTTCAGTGATGGAGCAAAATCCCTTCACTGTCTAGTGAGGGTATCTACATGCCTAACGGGGTGTTTTGGAATACTATTTTGGTTTCCCATTGCGGCAGCTGGATTTGAACTCTAAAAATACTTCCTGTTGATAGTGTTTTCCTCTGTTCAGTTGAAAACCTCGTGGAGGTGGAACTGATATTACCACTGTTGGGCAGAAGTTAAGAAGTCAGCATTGCTGTTGGTATGTTTGAGACTATTTACTGATGGATTTGGTTAACATCCTTAATACTGTTCTGACATCACACCTCTTGTTGCATCCTTTGAACTGCTCTTTTTTTTCAGGGGAAGATGCTAATATCCTAATCTGTCAGTACCTAAAGAAAGGAAGATGTGGGGTGGGATAAAACCAAAGAAAATAGCCCATAGATCATGGGTCACCCCCAAGGGGATGTTTTATTTTATTCTTGTGCTCTAACAATACTCAAAACGAGGACCTCCCACAAATAATTCCTTTCCCTTTGCCATTCAGACCTGTCTTGAGAAATTTCAAGGACTCCATTATGAAGAAAGCTTTTAAGAACCATAGAAATCACATTGCTTTTGAAAGTGCTAATGTGTGCGGTATGCTGTGATGGCTGAAGCAGCAGGCTTCAGAGCACTTTATCTCTTATCAGTGGTTTAGCTTTGTGAATGAGAAATTCAGAGGCAACTGTGTAATTTGAAATTCTGATTACCACAAAGAAAGAGATGCATCTGACACTAGCTTTGACTATTTTAATGGAAATATGTTGGGACTAGGGGGAGCCTTCCACTGAGGAAAAAGTGATGAAAGACCAAAAGAGAGACATTTTATCTTTGAGATAAAAGGCCTGTTTTCTAAGGTTGTTTCTTTTATTATGACTTTTCCCCTCTACCTGCTACTGGGGCACCATGCAAATGTTTCATTCCAGGAACTGCTTTGTTATTCTTTTTGTGCCTAAGAGTTCTTGGAGCAAGAAAAATAGAGAGAAGGGGTCTTGTTTACAACCTACTTAAATGGGATTTTCACCTTTCAGAGATCCTTAAAAAAATAAGGATCTAGTGCTTAAATGGATCTGTTTACTTCCTTGGTTCAAACATCAGGCTACCTTTTGCCTAAAATAAATCAAGATATTCTCATGTAGCTGCTCCTGTGAAGGCCAGTTCAATCCTCTCTGAGTGAATCCAGATAAAGTGCCGAAGGACTCCTTTAGCTAATGTCGATTAGGGTCTAGTACATGGTAGGTAAAAAATTAAACACCTTTTCTTCCCTAACAGGAATACTAGTACTTACAAAGAATCATTCATAACTGATGGTATTTTAACAATATTGAATATGAAGTCCTGGATTAGCAATAGGGATGCTGACTGAAGGGACAGATCTCTGGAAGGAACCCTGCCTTACCACGCAGAGGCAGAGATGTTGGAATTCAAAGTAGGTCTTTCCTGTACTCCTATTACACCAAAGAACAAAGACCTAGATCCTTGAAAACAACATCAAGGCAGTCTTTCCCACTGAACTCCAACTCCCCAGTAATAGCTTCATGAAATAATTCTGTATTTTTTCTTCTTACATATTTTAAGATATTCCTCTGAATATTTCTAATTATTTATTGGTCCCGCCAACTCTTCAGGCCTGATGTAGTCATAAGAGAGCAAGTCTGCCGTGGGTGTGAATAACTGAGGTGATGGATGCCAAAAAGATGTGTTAAGTCAAAAATATTCTTCAGAGGACCATGGGATGGACATCTTTCTGGAATATGAGAAGGTGAGATAGAAACCTCTAAGCAGAGACTGCAGAAATAGTCTCTTCAGGAAAGAGATTCTAGATATAAATCAAAGGACCCCTGCTTCACTTCATGTCACACGATGATGCTGACCCAAGGAACCCCTATATATTAAGGGTCCTAGGAAAACCTTTAGGATGATCACAGCTTTCCTCTTTCACTCAACCCTTCCCTAATTCCATCTTCCCTCTTCCCAAGAATCCTGTGAGCCTGTGTTTCTCAGACAAGTGGATATCTTTTACGTGCAATGTAAGGTGGAACATCTTTTCTATAACCACATATTTATATTTCCAAGCATGCCTGGAAATGTATTGCTGTCACCTGCTTTCTCTCCTGCTGTGTCCAACACAGATGAGACTACACATGACCTCTACGCCAAGCGTCAGCAAACTTTCACTGAAAAACCAATTAGTAACTGTGTTTTGTGGGCCACGAGGTTTCTGGCACAGACACCCAACCCTGCTGGTCCAGTATGCAATCAGCTATCCATAACATGTAAGTGGATGGATGTGCCTGTGTTAAAATAAAACTTTATTTACAAAAACAAGTGATGAGTCCCATTTGGCTTAGGGACCGGAGTTTGTTGACCCCTGTGCTAGAGTCAAGACTCAAGCAATCTTTGGTCTGTGGTGCTGGGCATACAGTGAAAATCATCCAAGGGAAACTGACCTAAATGAAGTTAAAAGCCAGTTCGAGTTTATAGGTTCTGACTCTTGGGTAACAGAAAGATAAAGCTTCGTATCAAGTTTCCACCTAAACTGATGACACCAAAAGGGCTTTTGAAAACCTCCTTCATACTAGTCATCTCTTAAGACTCAACTTTAACAACTTATTAGCAGATATCCAATAGAACTAGGTGCTAAACATTTGGAGATGAAACTTTCCTAAAAAATATTAAAATACTAGAACTTCTAGAATATTGAAAATTCATTTAAGCTCTTCATTATGCCACCCACTGCTTAATATTCTGAGAGATGTGATTGTCTAGAAGATACTGTATATAAAGATTAGAAAGAATCTCATTGTTGTAAATTAAAATTATCAGATTTTAATGTAAAAGAGATTTTTTTTCCCCAGAATTCAGGTAAAATGTTTTGTCATGACCAGGGACATGGAGGAAGTTAGGAGGAAAAATGTACATTGAGGACTTAATATGCATTTACCGAATTCTAAAGTCTGAACTGAAATACATGATTTAATCCATGCCAAACTTCCTGCTCATTACCTATATTGTAGTCACTTGGCACAAATGAAAATCAGAATTTTATATTGTGTCTATCCCCATAGGTGCTTGATTTCTATTCTTGGTTGCTATTATTCTTTTTATTCTATTTGTGATCTGAGTAACTTTAGGATTAAATTTTGCAAATGGGATCACACCACTCCTTTTTATTGGCATAAAATTCCCAAGGTGCTCCTCTCAGACTTTCATTTAACAATTAGAACAAAATTAGATGAAAGAGCTCAGTGAACCTTCCGTTTCTTTGTCATCCTTAGAACAGGTACTTGAGATGACAAAATGCAAAGATGGTTTGTCTGTTAAAAAAAAAAAACAACAAAACACAAAACCCCTTTGTCTTCAGTTATGTAGCCACAAAGGGCCTCATAACTACTGCTGACCTGAAAGATATGGGGTAGATGCTCCAAGTCACCAAGCAGGGCCTTTCTCGGCTTGGAATAACCCTGGATATGGTACATGCAGATTCTGGCAGTGTGATCCTACATGATATAAATAGTACTGAGCCAGAGCAACTGGATTTTTTCTTTTTTTTTTTTACCATTTTCTTTTTTAGACCCTAATGCTGCAAAATAAGCAATCACATGGTCTCACAGTTGAGCAACCCAGTTCTTCTGTATGGATATTGAGCAGGAGTGACTGGAGGGAGCCCGGGGTCTGGGAGCCAGCAGAACCACTGGTCAAGCTAGAACCATCCCTCTTCCCCCCACTGCTAAGTGACCAAGCAACACACAGTTTGTTTTTACCTCCCACGTGTGCAATCTCAGCCCCCCGATGCTGGAGTGTCATCTCAAAAATACCAAAGCTCTTATTCATTTTCTATGGCACATGTCACCTCTGCTTGTGAAGTAAGAAAAAGTAGAACCCTGTTGAGGAAAAAACAAATGCCATTCAGGCCTACAAAGAAGACTTCATTTAGGAGTGTGGGGCCACTGCTTGCCAAGTGGCATCCAGGGCGATAGGAGCCAGTCGGTTATGTCACCTTTCCGGGCTCTTCGGAGTCCACATCTGTCAGTCACTGGGTTTGTCTACCAGCCTTTAAGATGCCCGGTCATTATTTTACCTTTCCCTCCAATCACCCGAAAGAAACTACAGGTAACAACAAGATAACAGGGTGTGCTTCTCCTTGCTGAGTGCATTGACGTAAGGCACAGGCACATTTCCCCTCTTTGAACAGAGACGGTGTAATCTCCTGTCCCAGCACAAGAGCTGGCCAGGGTGACCCTGGAGTGTGATGATGAAAGTGGGGTGATGGGAGGTAGCTGATGGCGGGAATTAGGGAGCTGCTGCCACATGCAGGGGAGCAGGGACCACTGGGCCCCAAGGGACACAGCAATTCTAAGGAAGACACTTGACTCTTGTTTAGAGTAATGTTCAGTGAACATTCCTGGGGGCACATGGTACTTCATGGCTGTGATTCTTGGGTCACTATTCTTAGAGAAAACGACGGTCAATTTAGGAAAATGAGTATCCCAATACTGAAAAACTATGTAAGAAGATTGGAGGCAGAGAGTTTGTGCATGCCTTTAAAAATAAAAGGCATGCCTCTAAATGACCTATCAGTCCCCAGAAACATATTTAAAAATTATTCTGTTCCCTATGCCACTCTTTGACTTCCACCTCCAAATAGCTTCTCATGGGGGTAGGGGGTTCCATTCTTAAGGATTTGGATTGACCTGATCATTTTGGGTACGACTCCACTGCATAAAATTCAAAAGTGAGGATGTAACAGATTTTGAGCCATTTTTTCCCTTTAAACAGAGACATATCGGCCATTTATTCTTAGTCTGTCAGGCCACTGAGTAGCTTCCAGCCGACTGAGGAGCAGCTGTTACCCTATTTTGTGCTGATTTACAGCTCCTGTTTTGACTGTGGGATAATATGTGAGTTTGAAGGAAGGAGGCTAGCAGGAGTTGGGAGAGTCAGTCAAACTTTGCTAAAATCCATCCTCCAAATTCCTACAACCATGAAAGCCTGGATGCATTTGGATGCCAAAGTAGCACAGCCAGTCCGAGTTCCTCTGTCTGACTTCTAGAGGGACTTGACTTGAAGAGGGAGAAGATGGCTGGCTGTGTGGAAGCTCATAAAGGGAACCAAGGGTCTGCTTTTACTACAAGGGTCTTAGCCCCTGAGGGCGACTTGCAAATTCCCGCCATCACTGCCTTGTGATGACACTAAAAGCAAAGACAGGCTGTTACTCAAACATGTAGGCAGATATTCAGTAAGTGTCGATACACTGTGTGATTCAGCAGGGTCTGGAGAATATTAGGACCAAATTAGTGTTTTGATTTTATCAGGTATGTGACAGGGTTGGGATAGCAATGACAGTGGATATCACAGGGTCACCCATGGTTCCTTTTGTACTGAAACCTCATTTTATACAGAGGATATATATATTTATTTATATATATTTATATATATTTATATCCACCCACACACGCAAACACACTCACGCATACACACACACACACGCACGCACATACACACAAGGTCTTTGATAGGCTTTCCGTGTTCTAGTAAAAATAGCTGGCAGCCAGGGTCTAAAGCCAAAAAAGGCCTGGATGCTGCCGACAGTGTCCACTACAGATGGTCTCTCACAGGCAGACACTTGTGTTTATCTGACAGGTGGAACCGGCTCCTGCCTGGGACAGGAATAACCTCCCGTTGGCGCAGACGCAGATCTCGAACACCTTCTGCCTCGCTCCTGCGGGTGTATAGGATCCATGAGGCAGTCTAGGTAGCTTGATTTTCGCAGCATCTAACTTAATCTAAAGAGAGGAAACAGGAAGGAAGAGTCACTTATCCTCTTGACATTCCAAAACAGTGGATAAGAATGTTCAGTTGAAATCAAACCAACACCAACTATGTGCTCAGCATTGCTGACACTGGGAATTCAGGGATGAATAAGACAGGTCAAGTCTCTTCCCTCCCAGAAGCTTGTATTCTAGTCAGACAGTGTTGCACTGGCAACGTCATGTATATATTAGCATTTTGTAATAGCATACCATGTGGAATGTGAACGGATTCCTAGAGTGATGTAAATTTGGAAATGGTAGGGTAACAATTTTCTTTACTATTCTTTACTATTTTCTTTGCTATGCTCTGCTTCTCTATACATTTAGGTATGGAGTGGGGCTTCAAGAACATGCAGCACTTCCGGTCTTAAACGTCAGGATTACAACTGATCCCTCCAGCGTCCAGATCCTGATAGCTATAAATTGCATCTGTGATGTAGTCACTCCTTCTAAATGTGTGTGGTTTGGAGTCTGCAGCTGTCTGTGGAGACAGTGTTGATAACTGAAAGCTCTATCTGACTTGCTCTTTTAAAACAAATATAGCACATGCCAAGCCAATCAAAAGTCAGGCTTAGTGAACAGAGGCAGGTGGAGACTGATAACCTCTAAGCAGATATGGAAAGTGGAATAGAGAATTGCTTTAAAAACATTTTTCCTCTTTAAAAAAATCTTAAATGGAAAAATTCACTTATGAATAGGATAAAGGCACTTTCAAAAGTTTGCATTTGAATTGTATTTTCTTTGGGGATTTGGCTTACCTTGCTTGCAAAAACACAAGCAGCTCTTTTGTTCACCACAGTGAGACTGTATTGGGGTAAGAGAATGAATATTTGCAGCCTCTTGTCTCTCAGCCTCTGCCTAGCTAAGTTTTGACTTGTTCTGATTGGGATAGCTGTTAGAACTTACTTTTCCATTTTCAGTGAAAGTAAATGCATACAATGTATACTTAAAAATGACTACAAGTAAACTAAGCTTCTCTTTAAATAATCTTGTGTGTTGTACAGTTTAATTATACCAGACAACTAAATCTATTTTAAGGTGATGAGAGGGTTTGGAATTAGCATTCATTTTTACAGCCGTCCTTATAATTCTGTTTTTTGTAATATGTGCTATTAGCTCAGCACTTTACAAATAATGAGTCGTAAATTCTATGGGTTGTGGGTTTGGCTTATAATTGTGCTGTTCAATATATGTGATCCAGAAATAAAACCTCCTGATTGGCTCTTTTTTGTTGTTACACTGTAGGATCAATGTCAGAGGCAAAGGAGTGCTGTGTCTTAGGAATCGTTGGCTCACTGGAGCTGTGTCTCTCTGGGCTTCTGTCCCTCTCACGCCTACCTCTCCATCTTTGGACTCCAGTCTCAGCTCTGTTCTGCAGGTGGCTTCCATGTTGCCAGCTTCTGCATTTATTTCGACTCCTTTTGGGGCCTCCATCACCAGAGACCGGGTCGGGGACTCCAACCTGAAATATATGCAAGACTAAGAGTCAAGATCCCATTTCACTCTTTTAGTAAATTTAGGAGGAAGCTGATGCTTCTGAGCATTGAGATGACACTTCAGTATCTGATCAGAAAGTGCTTCTACCTTTGCTTCACATGCCTGATCAACTTTATTAGGGTGGACATAGCATATCTGTGCTTTATCTTCAATGCACATCATAAAGATTGTGAGGAAGGTGTTCCATGATCCTAGTTTTGTTCTGTCTTACACCTAGTTGATTGTTGCTTCATTAGCTTGTTAAACAAACTCTTACATAAGTTATCTCTGCTGCTGCTGCTAAGTCACTTCAGTCGTGTCAGACTCTGTGCGACCCCATAGATGGCAGCCCACCATGCTCCCCCGTCCCTGGGATTCTCCAGGCAAGAACACTGGAGTGGGTTGCCATTTCCTTCTCCAATGCGTGAAAGTGAAAAGTGAAAGTGAAGTCGCTCAGTCGTGTCCGACCCTTAGCAACCCCATGGACCGCAGCCTACCAGGCTCCTCCGTCCATGGGATTTTCCAGGCAAGAGCACTGGAGTGGGGTGCCAGTGCCTTCTCCGAAGTTACCTCTAGAGTAAGGCAATTTCAGGTCTAAACTGAGATTCCTGAAATTGATAGGTATTCGTTCCCTTCTGCCCTGCTTCCTGTGTCTTCCTGGAAACAGGTTAAGAAAACAGACCTAGGAGCTGGACATGACTGACCCAAGCCGTGGGGCTGCCACAGTATGACCTTGGAAAGCCCTTCTTTCCTCCTTTCTTTTCCAAAATTTCTCAAAGCCTCAGTTTCTTCATGTCTAAAGTGCTCCAAGTGGTGCCTGGCACATTGGAAAGGTATGATTAATATGTGTTAATCATTACTATTACTGCTGTGACTGTTGTTATGACACTAGCAAGTCATAAAGAAATCTCAGGCCTTACTCAAATAGTCAGTCATCAAAAGAAGACTCAGGATAGATGAGTTGTTGCTAGGAGCGAGAGGGAAGTGATTTAACTATAACGGGGCAGCTAAGGAGTAGATGCTTTTTTGGTGACAGAACTGTTCTCTGTCTTGGTTACAGTGGTAGTTACGTACCTCCATGTGTTTATAGAAACTCTTTGGACTAATTATACTATCCAACAGTGAATTTTATTGTTTGTAAATTAAGTTGAGAGAAGGGAGAATCAGCCACACTCTGTGCTAATTATTAGCACAAAAGAGGAAAATGCTTCATAGAAAGTTTTTTGCCTATCTTATTTTATGCAAAAAATATGAACTAAAACTCATCTTCTAAGTATTCCAGATTTTAACACTATCACCCAGTTCAACTGAATGAAGATCCTCTTACCTGTTACAAATAAAGTATTCCAACTTAGAAAGCATAGCCCTCAGCAATGGCCACCAAAGCACTCTAAATCAGATCAATTTTCTGCATTTATATTTCTCCACTCCTAATTTTCAAACACTTTGAACATGTTTAAAAGGAACATCACGTCATTCTCTCTGCCAACCGCTGACTCCATTTGCTTCCACCAGCCCCCATGGGTAGGACACATTCTCGTGGGCAACAGTAAGTGGCAAGAAGAGCAAGGCACCAGTGGGGTGACCTCCTGGGTGATTCCAAGCCATACTGCACAGGGGCCAACAAAGGGTTCTTCTCCATTTCCCAGGTCTGGGTCCCTGAAGTCTCTAGTCCTCTGGAAAGGACTGGCTTCAGCTTCTCTCTCAGTCCTTCTTTCCCTTGTGACCTCACCCCTTTGTGTGTGGCAAAAATCCCCCATCCTACCCCTTCCTCCTCAGAAGATCTTCACCAAGTTGGTGCTGAGCCGGGTATGGTTCCACCTCGAATTATAGTGAACTTCTTTTGCCTGTGTTTTTTCTCATTAGAACATCTGGGCAAGGAAGGGGGTCTTGTCACTAGAACAGCAGAGAATGACGTCTCTGAAGTGCAGCCTTTTCTAGGACTTAATCCAATGCAGTTGAGCTCTTCCTATAGCTTACTTCTAAAATCTGCTGATGGTTTTCTGCCGTTTTCATTTGCTTCTCTCCTATAAGGTCTGGCTGACTCATACCCCTTATCCTAGCATTGCCTAACCTTCTGTTTTCACTAATATTCACCCCACGGCATAAACTTCCCTTCTGACAATACTGCCGACTCA